CATTGAAGCGGCTGGCGGGGCCCGAACCCAACGCCGGAAAACATTGACAAGACCGATAGAATATTTGAGGAAGTCAAGCGAGCTCATTCTTCAAAGTTTGCGAGGCTGGGAGGTCGCGATTTTATAAGGTTCTTCTGTCACAACCTCATGCACTACACGGTGGAATAATACGGATTTCCATCGCCGGTCTGGGACAAATATCCTGACCAGCAGCATACCTCGAGAAGGCAAGATGTTAACGAGAGCTGGGAGCCACATGGTCATCCTACTAAGTCTGGGCTGGGCTGGACTGGGCCGTGAGTACCTGCCAATCTTCGAATGCATCATCATGCCGATGTGTCAAAGTATCATGTCGTCTATCTTCGAATATCAGCTGAACGTACGGGTGGAGACTACTTCGACGGCTACAACCGTTTATGCGATCACACGCATGGATTTCTGGGTCCCATCGGACCTCAACAGCCGCACCCAGGTGACATACTCGGAATTATTTCCTGAAGCTGCCCAATGAGTCCCCTGTCCTGCGCGCACCAGGCTTCGATGGACCTCGTATAAGCTTGATAGACCTACGTGAATTTCCCGGGGAGAGGGTGTTGGCTTGAGCGAACGGCCTCATGTGTGTATGGTTTGGGCGGAGTGAGGGCACAGGAGGGCTTTCTGACAGTCCGGTTGCCAACTCTCTAGCGAGCAGGGACATGTATCGCACGGACGAGTTTGGAAGGTGAACTAGAAGTCAGTAATCTGTCGCGATCTTGAATTACGAAAAGAAGGTATCAACCCTAACGTAAAGGCAGTGCAAGGGCCAAGAATCCGAGTTCATCGGAGGATTTTATCATGGGGTAGGTCAACAATATCCCCCTTTAAGAGGGTAATTTGTTATGCGAACTAATAAATTATCAAAGGTCACAGTGCATGGGTTTATGGCGGTTTTTGTAGCGTTTGTCATGCCTTCTTGTATGGGCGCACTTGGTCGTGGGAAACTTCATGAAAAAAGCCCAAGAACCCTGTTCAATGGGGATCTGCAATTGCACCAAATGAGGACCTTATTCTTGTACTGACCGGTATACGATGATGTTGTATGGCGGATGCTCCTTAAATCTGGATGAAATTAACAAACATAACATCGCCATCCAACTGAGCCTAGATTACAGACGACAAAACCTATGCCCTTAGGATATACCTGGGCTTAGCGAACCTTTTGTATGGTCTCTAACTATCCCAGTGTCCTACCATCAAAATAAAACCCTGCCATTACTGCTCTAGCCGAAGCGGGTTATTTCTTTACCGAGCCAGGTGCAGGAAGCTGACGGAGGACACACAGATGGTTAAATACTTGCACAGCTTTAAAGCGGACTAACTTGCCGCAGGCCGTCTTTACAACGACAGGGTCAATCCTCGGGCGATTTTTGATAGCTTCTCAACGACAGGGCAGACAGACTGCGCTACATGTTGGGTATAAACGAGTGATCAAGTCCCAACGATATTTTCTTCACCTGTACTCTGCTGTCAAGCTCTGATTTACTTATTTCACAAAGTACTTTCCATTCTTTATATTTCGCATCCCCATTCAACACCCACAACAATAGCGGTCAATATGCTTACCTCCTACCCGAAGTTGCTCGTGGCCTTCACTTGTTCGCTCGGCAGCTTAGCACTAGTGACTACAGCGCCTACTATCGCTGTTGGCACACCCACTAAAGTGACTGAGATCGTTGTCACCGCAACCACACACCCAACCACGGTCATTACTGCTACTACAGCTACTAGTCTCTATAATGACACATCGAGTGTGGTCCATGTGGTCACGTCGACGTCCAATTTCACAGTGTCGACCACTAGTATCAACTCAACCCATGTAGGTTTTCCTTTGGACTGTCTGAGGCTTTCTAGAGGTTGACGTTGACCTACCCTATAGCCCACAACTGCGACTGACGCCACTCCGACCACAGCAGTTGTTATTCCGACCATCAATAACACTGTCACCGCTACCACCTCAACTTCTGCGGTTGCGCTCGCTGCCGCAAACGGAGCTCCTCGGGTCGCAGCTGGTGGAATAACTGCCCTTGTTGGTGCCGGCGTTCTCGCCTTTTACTTCCTGTAGTTCGGTGGAATGCTATCATATGGTCCCTTGGGGTTGTGTTATTTTCCGCTCTCGTTACTAGATCATCTAATTTCAACTTGGACAATATCATCTCTTCTCCATGGACCTTGTAAATAGCTACCATATAGTGTGATTTCCTTTTTCTCAGAGGATGTGACGTCGGCCGCATCTCCCCTTACAGTATCGACCGCCCTGACAAACATCGTGTGATCCGTGCTGATCGTTCTCGGCTTGCTCTCAAGGCCCTTTTATTTCCAACACTCAACTAAGGGCCCGAGTGACCAAGCGATCTTGGAGGTTACGCTGTCGGCAGCGTATCTCATTCCGGCCTTGACCCCGGAGCCCCATTCGTTGTATGATAACATCTCCCAGTAGAGTTCGCAGATATTCCACCAGAAAAGTGGGGCCTGTCTCCTCATTCTGTATTCGCAGCCAATCGCGTACGCCCACGAGGTCAACCAAAATAGATGAGGGCGTAACGCTTACCAGCCAAACGATCTTTGCTCTCTAATGTTGTCTCTTCTCTGTGTAACAACCTGAGATGGAGTTAGATGCGTAGGTAACCAAGCAGTCGCGTGGCATGAAGTTGATGTACTACCTACCTCGGCCTCGTGTATACGTGCGTCCTGGCAGGCCACCACGATCTCCGTCGATGGCCTCCATGAAAAAAAAAAGCGTAAAGACGCCACATAGGCAGAGACCGTCTTGATAGAAATGATAGGAGCATTCAATCCTTGAAAGCCCGGCCGAAGCGAGCCCATTCAGAAATGATCGCGTGTTATACACAAGACTATGTCCTGCCCATCCGAGGCTACTCAGCGGGTCCCAAGTCCTTACACCAAGCTCCGCTCAGCCTACTACAACCATGATAGATCCATGAGAAGGAGTACCCCAGAAGAATCTTGGCGCAGGTCGAATGCAGATGGCTAAAACGCTGAGCCTCTATGAATTCCGAGGGAGCGCCGACTATTCCATGAGCTATCATTAATGCTGGCACAATTACCAAACTTCGAGGCAGCATTATATGGGAACGGTAGTGATCGCCAATAGATCAGAACGTTTGCCACACAATCGTTGCCGCGGGGAAGCGGATGATATCAAGCCGCTGCTGTTTGCGTCTTGAGACGCCAGCTTGAAGGCAGTGCAAAGAATCCGAGCTCCTGGGAGGATTCATGGACAGTTTAGTAACATCTTTTCTTGGCAGGGCAACGGCAACCGATGGTCCTAAGACAACATCATATCCCTTTGGGTTCTACCATGGCTCATCCGGCGATGGGGCAAGTCCATAAACGTGGGAGGAAGCTGAACACTCACAATCACTTCAAGTGGGATTTTTACTTGCGCACAGATCGGTTTCTGATGATATTCGGTGATGATTGCTCTTAAATCGCTGGATGAAATTCGTCTATTCGTCCCGCTAGGCATGGCTACAGACGACAGAACTATCACCCTTAGAGTAAGCCTGAACATTTTTGCTCGGTGCGGGGTGTGAACCTACTTCTTTGCCTTGCCGTACATCGGGTGCAGGGGGTTGCCGCAGAATACACGGAAGCTTCAAGCCTTCAAGCCTTCAAAAACTTGCACAGCTTCAAGCGGACTGGTTCTCCGAAGGCCGTCCTTGCAACGACGGGCCGGCCCTCGGGCGATTTGCAATGGCTTCTTGACAACAAGACAGACAGGCTGCGCTAAGCTTTGAAGGGGTATAAAGCGTACCCAAGTCCTAACAGTATTTTTATCACCCCTCCTCCTCAGATTTCACTCTATCTACTCCACAAAGTACATTCCGCTCTTTTCTTTATCCCTCACACTCCATTTCCAACATCCAAAACAAAAACAACCATGCTTGCCTCCTCCCCGAAGTTGCTCGTGGTCCTCGCCTGCGCGCTCGGCACCTTCGCGCAGCAGGTTACAACGAAAACGATCGATATCATTACATATACCAAAACCAACATCAACAACGCTACAACAACGGCCACGGCTATAGCAAATACCACTACCCCAGCCACCGTGTTCTCCACAAACAGTGCGGGCGTCGTGGTCACGGTAACCTTCAATGATACAGTTTCGACTGCTCTTATCAATTCAACCTATGTATGTTATCCTTTAAATTATACCAAGACTTCTAGAGGTTGATATTTACCCACTCCGTAGACCACAACTAGGGCTGGCGTCATCCCGACCACGGCGGCCATTGCTGCGAATGTCACTGGTGTTACCTCCGTCTTTCCCATCAGTACCACCGTGGCTGTTGGCAACCCGACTTCTGCAGTTGCACTCGCTGCCGCGAATGGAGCGTCTCGCGCCGCGGCTGGTGGAATGGCTTCCCTTGCTGGTGCCGGCGCTCTCGCTATTTACCTTTTGTAAATCGACGAACTGCTGTTGCTATCATTGCTATAGTTCCTTGTTTTACGCTCTCCTCCCCAGGTCTTTCATTTGGACAATATTATCTATTCTTGACGGGCTTTATAATCAGTGCCACACAATGCGTGATCTTTCCTTGTTCAACGGATATCCCTTCACGGGATCTCAGATGCAATCAGCTGCACATCCCTTAAAGTACTCCTACCATTGCGAGATCCGTTTAGATCGCTCCCAATTTGGTCAGGGCGTCGTTGCTGTTAGTTATCAACCACAGACCTGAACAATCCCCCTGCCCCCAGCACATCGTCGATGTGCCCCTCAGTCTCGAGCCTCCGTACGTAGTATACCAGCTCCTGCGATAGCAAATTTCATTTCGCAGATATTCCACCACCAAACCGCGGGCTAGTCTCTTCCTCTTATCTATGCCCTCTCGCGTGCTGAAGGTCACCGCAAAGTCAACTAGCGCAACGTCAACACCCCGATCCAGCAAAAAAGGTCACCACCGTCTAGATTCAATATAGACGGTGCCAACAACGAACTGCTCCGGTGAGACTCGAACTCACAGCCTCCTGATTCCGAATGAAACTCGTGTCCCAAGGAAGGTAACAGTCAGACGCGCTAACCAATTGCGCCACAGAGCAACTGTGGGATGTCTGTGGCCCAGGATCTATAATATCATTAACCGCTGATTTTGCTGATGCTTACCTGAACCTAATGCGGCGAACTATCGTTACTGTCCTCAGATCCCTCGCTACGCAGTTATGGCAGTTAGGGGCTGGGCCAAAGTTCGAACGAAGAGAGCTACATTACATTGCATGTCATAATGAAGCTGCCCGCCAAGGAAAGAGCACCTTCACAATCAATTAAGAAATACATAGCAAACGGCCAGCCGTTGCATTGAATTGTGTGTAGACTACTCAGTGACCACATTGGACCTGGAGGGTAATCCGAGTGTCTAGAGCGTTGGGGTACTGGCAATTGGGTGCTTTGCCGCTAGTAGTCGATAAAAACCCACACCCACCGTTCCGGTCCAGTGAAACGATAAATGAGCAGAGTTGCACTCTCTCGGTGCTCTCATATGGTCTAGATCTCCCTCCGTTGGCCGGAGATGGTTCTAGAACCGAATGCCACTTCGCAAGATTTGGAAAGGGATGACTATCGACCCTAGCAATGGATGTGAGGAATGTGTTATGTCCTGGATCGCCTAAAAGTGGAGCCCCTTGCCTGGTATATACACGCGCGTGCTGGGGCCAGTGGCCATATCAAGAGACGGGCTGATGATACGACAACGAAGGCTGTCCATTGAATAGCGTAACACAACACAAGAAATACAGAAATACAGGGCATGTAATTAACAAGTCAATATTGCCCATTCGTACACCGAGGTCGAAGGATGATGCGAGACACGATGTAGAGTCTACTTGGACACCTTCCAAAGGGGCTTCTTCTTCATCTTGCGGGTGACGTGCACAGCACTTCCGCCATCGGTTTTTCCAAATGCGAGGACGACAGATTCTTCAGCGTCGCGCCCTCCTTGAGTTTTCTTCCTCGCTGCGATGACCCCCTTGACGAATTGGAAGCGCGCCTGGTCAGTGCCTGATAGAGGTAGAATATAAGGCAAATTAGTATCCTATGCAATATGGTTCGAATATGCAGGGAGAAAGTGACGCACCGACAGGGAATGCCGGAGACTCTACAGCATGCTTGAAGACATCGAATGGTAGTACTGAGTAGATACGGATCAAGACCTCCTGACCTGTCTCTGTGGCACCATCGGCGGCCTTTTGCAAGTGTGGAGGGAACGCATGCAAAGATACCGGAAGGGTCACGACCAAGAAGGAGAAGACATCATCACGTAGACGTTTGCCATACAGGCCAAGCACGGCGGCCGGACTTGTCTCCATAGTTGGGGTACCGGGGATAGACGACGAGGGTGACGGCGATGATGATGGTTCATCGAGGAGTTGCAACCAATCTTGAATGGTCTCGGCGGAGATGTTACTTCGACACATCTCGTAGGCAGCCGCAGCAAGATCATCCATGCCACCAAGGAAACACGCAGCGGCGAGCACGGAGCGAGAATTGTCGGGTGTGAGGTGACCCATGCTCGCGGAGGAATAAAGATATCCCAAGGCAATGGCGAATCCCTAGTAAGAGTGCGTCAGCATTTTAGCCTATTTTGGGTTCAGGATCAAGTGAGAGGCGTACATCTTCTGTAATGAGCGGTTCGTCCTCAAGCGGAACGTAAAGAGTGTTGGTATTCGAGGTATTAATTAGATGGGCTAGATAGGGCGAACGTGCGAGAATGATGGCGTGCAAACGATATGGGCGATTCATGACGTGCTGAAAGGAAGGGGAACAAGGGGATTGTCAATAACGTGATGGCCGTACACATCCAAGTATTCTGACACTTACGAGGTTGATGTCCGCGTAGTTCTGTTAAAGTGATGTCGATATTAGCATTAAAAGTGAGGTATGACGCAAGGGGGACGTACCCCATGCTGGAATCCAGATGTATACAAGTGGTTGACTATACTCTCGTTGTGGGATGGGCGGCTGGTCGGAATCATAATATTCAGCGTCAGAATTGGATCTGTTCAATCGAGCATCATATCGACTATGCTACTCACGAGTGGAAAGGCCCGCCGGTTCCATTGAGGGTGGTAGGCTCGTCCTCATGATGAGTCGAGGGGGGAGTGGGGTAACCCTTGCTCGGTCCAGCACCTCCACCATTCAAGGCGTGTGGGGTCACGCCGTTGACGCCATTTACGCCGTTCGTACCATGGTGCACGCCGTCCATGAAATCAATTAGCAGTCGTTGACGTCGTACAGAAGGGCGATGTGGGGTTGTGCGTTTGCGCTTTTCAAGAACTTGGAAGAAAGAAATCCCAGAGTCTGAGTCAGCCACATGGGCATACAATCACAAAAGCTCAACCTCCTCTAGTCATGATCCGCTCCTCTGACAATTCTCCATCCATGATACGTCTTTGAGAAAGACGGTATCTTCAAGGACGGTACCGTACCCTATACCTTCGAAGGACATGTCAACAAAGTGAGACATGAGGTTATTCGGAAGCTCTGTGGCTAATGCACCAGGCCCAGTGATGGCTGGGTATGAAGGAGGAGGGGCATGATACACTCTGGCGCTGGGATCCGATGATACTGTGAGCTATTGAATCTGGTGAATTATAGCTGAGTTTCGAGAAGCTGGCGTGCGCTTACCATGTGTGATCGGTCGGATGAAAAGTTGTCAAGATAATCTCGTATAGGAACGACGCGGAATTGACTACAGGGGTTATTGCCATCGGGACAAAATCAGTTCACATAGAGAGAGAGGAATGCTTGTGCCAATGCATACCAACGAAATCGCTTCGATATGACATCTTCATCGGACAAAATCAATAAGGCTTTGAACGTCTGATCCACATATCCTAAACAGAGTTCATAAGAGGCGTTCAACCTTGATAAGGATCTCGGGAACGAAACAACGGGGCAGGGGGGCGACGTACTCTGCCAGGGGCATGGACTGCCCAGTCTGCTATCGACGTCGTAGATCCACACGTCAGAGGAAGCCCGCGATTTGTAGCACAAGACCACATGGTAATCCCATATGCAGAGGAAGTCCGACTGGGCTCCGTTTGCGGAAGCCTTTTGCTCCCAGATAGCCGCGGACCGATCGGCATTCGATATGACCACCGCGTAGATCAACGAGTCCTGCGGCGCCAATCGCGTCAACGCGTCGCCTAGCAAGTAGACATTCTCTTCGCAGTAGCACGCCGTATATGGCACTGTGGGCAATGGTGGGCTTGCAGAGGTAGATTCCATTGGAGAAGGGCAACGCCAACATTCTACCGAATACAGGAGACAATATTTGTACAGATGATGATCACGGCCATCATGAGAGAGACAAAGTATTATACAAACGGGAACCCCCAAATTAAAAACGATCAGAAGCCAGGTATTGGTTGTGAAATCGTGGGGTATCACTGCCATCCTCGGATGCTCTAAAACAAACTTTCCTCGACCCACAAAAATACGGCGATGACAATCCAAAGCCATAGGACGATAGACCCTAAAGGAGCTAAGCAGATGATTTTGTGGGGAAGTTTCCACATTCGCGAAGACATGAGAAACGCAGGGAGAGGCGCTTTGGCGACGAGGTACTCACCTCATCATCGGTTGACAGGCCCTCGTCGCCACTGCGGGGATGCTTCACTTCCACCTTTGCCCACCATTCTTATTCAAGATCTCGCTAAGATCTGGGGTTCGTCGACCATCGGCTTTGTATACATCAAAGACGTGTTTCGTGGAAGATGAGGATGAGGATGGCTGACGCGGCGGAGGCTGAGAATACGCAGGTGCTTGAGGGACATATCCACCCGGCGGCGTTGCAGGGCTTTGTCTGCTCTGCTTCTGGTATTGCTGAGCTTGCTTGATAGGTGATGAAGTGGTCGGCATACGAGCGACGGGCGCTGTCATCTGACTGCCACAAGAGGTGAATGGGTGAAGAGCAAAGGGGTTGAAGGAACCGTCAACGGATTGGGACATGATGGTAATGGAGGGTGTGAGGGATGAAGGAGCTGGATGATTGGGGTACGGAAAGTTGAATGGAGAGTAGCAAAGTAATGCGAGGGGTAGCGATGGGAGGTATAATGCTTTCAACACAGTAGATCAATGGCCAACTATATAGGTATTCCCTCCAAGCTCCAAGCGGGGCTTGTAAACAAGGGTCCTACACAAACGGGTATGGAAGGAACCCGGAAAAACAGAAAGGGCAGGAGACTGAAGTTCCACTGGCCACGCACCGTCGCTTCTGCAACGCGCTTCGAAAGAAACGAGGCTGCCGACACTACACCGAGATATCGGATCCGGGAAGCCACCGCCTCGGAAAGGTTAATATGTTAACATTTGGATAATAAAATGAAGGTGCTTTACACCGTCTCGTAAAATGTAAGTTGCCTGACCTTGTAGCGACCGCTATGCTGACGTGGCGAACGTACGGAGTCAGTCACGAGCCTTCATGTTGTCTGTGTCAGGCGTCGCTTGGTCCGTCAAATGAACACTACTGCACAGGCCGATGAGTCGCACTCAGAAACGACAAGCGGACACGTTGCCTCGTTTTGATGAGCGGTCATCGGGCAGACTATTTAACTACTCATCTAAGCGAGTCATCTTTTTATCTCACAGCCCGAGCCTTCCGAATAGGAAAGAGGAGAGCCAGCCGGCGGCAAAGAATCTTTCCCTTTAAACGCTTATCTTCGATATCAGGAGACTCGCCGGGCCGGTAATTTGATGAGCAAGCGCAAGTAATGGTAGTCTGAAGATAACCGCCAGCTAAGCTCACTGTCATAGGAGACGAGCCTACGGCAGATGATGATTGGCCGCTAACGAAACATCGTGACAGAAAATGTGAGATCCGTGAGCAATCCCAACTTAAGCGCTAAGTGCGTGCGAGCATCGACGGGTGAAGCGTGCGTACATTGCAGGTTGAACGAGGCCATCGATATCGGTGGGACCCTTAGAAAGATAAAGCAAGGTCTTGTGATCAAGTTAAACTGCCGGTATCAACGCAATCGAGTTCGTAAAAGATCCTGATCTTCGGTAGGCCTCGCAGCGGCGAGTTCTTCTTGAAGGGCGGTGG